CAGAGAAAAAAAGACTTTTATCTAAATTATTTCATTCTTGGAATATATCTCGGTAGAACAAAACATTACATTTAATTTGTGCTTTTTGCGTCAAAACAAATTGTTGAATTTTCGCACAAGTAGACTTGAATGACTAAAAAATGTTGCATGCATTTAATTTGTACTTATTCATTTTTATAGAGTCCCTATACTTGAAATTAGTTGAATGTTGAATCCGAATTCATAGTCGATCTATGTCTATTGTGAAAGCTGTAAATATTTTATTAAGACATTTTGCGATTTAATTTTAAAAAATTATAAATAGATGGCGCTACGAGCAATGATGACCAAAGTGAATAGTTCTAGCGTTATGAAAGGAGGAATGATTAAAGAATAAAACCATCAATAGCATTTTTTTTTCTTTTTATTTTACTATATTTTTTTGTAACTATTCTTTTAAAAAAATAGTCTTTCTGATGGCTTCGAGTTTCCCTTTTCAAGTTAGTCCCTTTCATTTGTTTTTCTTTTCTTTTTTTTTTTTTTTTTTTTTTTTTTTTTTTTTTTTTTTTTTTTTTTTTTNCACAATCGAAATCACAAAACAAGAGAAAATCTACAGGGACTATTATATTTCCTGCCCGATACGACAGGACCTTTAGCGTTTCACCAAAAAGTAAACATCTCACTAGTTCATCTTGAACTTTCTGGACATGTTTTCGGAGTCTGAATAATACACAACATGAAATGGGGTGAAGTCTGTTAACAGGGCCGCAGAGAAAGGAGGAGCGATTAAATTTCAAAGTGGGCGTTTCTACTAATCGTAGAAAATAACCTCACTACTTGAGGGAAGGGAGATAAATATGTATAAGCTGTTGCTTGATTTGACAAGACAGCTGAAAGTTTTGCCTTTAACCCTTTCGTGCCAACTGTCACAAATACTTGTGCCAGCATACCGTATCAATCAGGGTAAAAAGATAAAATTGGCAACCAAAGTTCTTTAGCAGTTAATTTGTGGGCGGGGTTATAATTGTTTGATTTATTTAATTCACCATTACTTTAGTTCAAAATGAAATTATCCAGTTATACTTTGAACTATAATACAGGAAACCAAATTTGTCACTGCTAACTTTTTTAAAATACCTAATTATCTAATTCATCACACCTAGTCACATCGATGACATACACTGCCATTATCATTAAAAGGAATATTAATCATAAACTTCTTGATTACCTTACCTTCAATTTTTTAGAAGCAACGACCCTTGAGCTATTTTTCTCCCCATCCCATTCTATTGTCATTTCTAGTGTCTTTGCCCCCCCAATGCCCCGGCTACCTTTATCAGCGACCTCAAAAGTCTAATTTCCTACGGTTGGATTATTTTTCTGGCTGGTGACTTCAACGCTAAACACAGCACATGGAACAATGATAGCATGATAGCAACGGCCTGGGCACCTCTCTATTTAATTTCATAAACTTAGCTAAATTAAATGCACACTACCCCCCCACCAATACCAGGATCTCGAACTTATCAGCTAATACGATCGATTTCGCCCTTTCTAGAAATTTAAATTACCTCATCAATACTAGTACCTTAAATGAACTCTGTTCTGATCATTTACCTGTTAAGTTTAGCATCAATATTAATGTCCCCAATAATCTTAATAATAAAATAAATAAAATCAACTGGAATAAATTTAATTGCATTCTAGCTAATTCCCCCCTAGTTTGCTCCCCAGTCGAGACCCCAACCCAATTAGATCAATTTGTTGACAGCTTCACTAATTCTATTAACCAGGCTGAAGAAGAGGCTTCCGTTTTTGTGGAGGCAAACAATTACTGCAATGCACTCCCCCCCCCATATCAGGAATCTTATTAGAGATAGAAACAATATCAGGAGGTTGTGGCAACAGTCCCGTGACCCAAATGACAAAGCTCGACTGAATCAGATCAACGCTAAAATTAGGAGAGATTTTCGAGCACACAAGCAATCCTCCTACACCAAGTATATCAAAGACCTTTCTGTCCAAAATAATTCAATTTGGAAAGTGGTCAACAAATTTGAGGCTAAATCCTCAAGCAGCCCTGAAACATAATAATTCTGTCACCTTCGATGACAATATGAAAGCCAACATCATTGCTGACAGTCTTGAATTGCAGTTTACCAACGACCTTGCCGGAAATGATTCTACAAACTTAGAGGTTGGAAGAGGTATTAATAAGGTATTCTTTCCTGCAACTCTGCCCCTTTACACCCACACCCCGGTCCCTCTTAGTGATGTAATTAACTCCATTAAGAAACTTAAGAATAATAAGGGACCCCCATTAATAATAGACTTATCAAAGCACTCCCTCTTAACTACATTCACTATTTAACATGCATTATTGACTCAGCTCTACTCTTATCATACTTCCCCACTGATTAGAAGATAGCAGTCATTAAACCTATCCTAAAGCCAGGAAAAAACCCCAACAAAACGAGATAGCTATCGACCCATCAGTTTACTCTCCTCACTGAGCAAAATTGCTGAGGACATCATCTTGTGCAGAATGAGAGACTTATGCGATGATAACCACATTATTATCGATAAGCAATTTGGCTTTCGCCCTAAACATTCCGCACAATACCAACTCATCAGGCTCGTTGAATACATACACGTAGGATGGCTACACAACAAACATACAGTGCCGTCTTTCTCGACTTGACTAAAGCCTTCGACAAGGTATGGATCGATGCACTTATCCATAAATTAATTAAATACAATTTCCCTAGATCACTTATTCTAATTATACGATCCTACCTAACACACAGAAAGTTCATGGTCAACTGCAACACATTTTTCTCCACCCTAAGACCCATTAATAGCGGTGTTCCCCAGGGGATCAAACTGGAACCCCTCCTATTTTTAATTTTTATTAATGATATCCCTAGAGATCCTGGTATTCTGGCTGCACTGTACGCTAACGATACAGCCATTGCGACACAAAGCAAGTATATCAGTGATATCAACAGGAATATTATTTATCATCTCCTCACCATCATTGACTACTTCCAAAATTGGAAACTTGCCCTCAATATCGACAAAACTCAGGCGGTGCTATTCACCAGAAAAAGGACCTACAAGAAGGATGTTATCATTGATAACAACTTCTCTTTCAAATGGGAAACGAAGGCCACGTACTTAGGTGTCATTATGGATAAAACCCTGACATTCAAATATCATTTTAAAAACATTAAGAGTAAATTCATAACTGCAAAATGTGCACTTTATCCTATACTAAATAAGAACTCTCCTCTCAGCACTAATAACAGGATTCTAATTTTTAAAATGTTTCTCACCCCCCCTATTAACACATGCAGCACCCGCCTTCGGGGGGGGGGCTGCAAAGACAAATCTTAAACTCTTACAGAGTGCTTATAACTAAACCCTCCGCAATATCACAAATTCCCTCAGGTATTTCAGGAATAAAAATATCCGTAATGACATCTGTGCGCCAAGCCTTCTTGACTTATACAGGAACAGTTCTCTTAACTATTTTCTAAAGAGCACTGGACACTTCAATCCCCTTATTTGGTCTTCCTCTAACTACGACCCAGATCACCCTAAGCGCAGGAGACGGCCTAAGGCAAGTCTCCATTACTATAATAATCTCCAAGACATCGTTTGAGTCGTATTGCTGATTTTTCTATCCCCCTGACTGGGCCCTCATCTCCTCTATCATCATTACCCTTTTCCACCTTCTTGGGTTGGCCCAATCCTTCGCGGAATTACTGCGGCTCATTTTGATTCAATTTACAAATTCAACTACTAACAATGCTAATCACTAACTGCTTATTTGTCAATAATTTTAAATAAAAAATAAATAATGAATTATAATAAATAATTTAATTCTTTTTTTCTTCCTTTCATTGTTCATGTTATTACCTGTCTGTGTTATCCCTGTTCTATCTTCTTTTCTACAATATTATTTAACTACTAACATTAAGTTTACTAACCCAAATAATTTTAATATCAATGGCCTTTGATTCAATTTGTAATCATATAATTTACGGAGGTGGCCTTTTTGCCAGGTACTCCGGTGCACCCATTATTAGTTTCCGCATTGATTGTATATATGATTAAACTAACAATAATTAAAGTAAAAGCAAGGTAGGTCTGTCAAATTAGCACTGCTTACATTTAAGTTACCGTTTTTTATTTATTTACACACTGATTTTGATTTAGTACGAATGCTTTTATGGATCACCCGTCACCAAGGGGTTAAACAAGATAGCTTTTGATTTTCTGTATTTCTATTTAATAAATTTGCTATTGATTTTATGACAGTCTCAAGATATATCACTACATTAATTTTCAAATATGTTTTTAAACCCAATATTTCAACAACAAAAAAAATGGCTGTTCAATAGAAAACAAAAATAAAATTTACTGAATTTTAAAAAGGCACTGATGGTAAGAAAAATAGTAACACAACAAATGGGGTTATGTTTTTATCAAACCTGATGATTAATTAATATAAATACAGCGATTGTAGACAGTATTTTTGCTTATGTTACAAATGTTTAAAATGTATATATTGCACATGACTTAATAAACATTTGGTCTTACTATGAAATAGATTTTATAATTAAGAAAAAAAATTGAATTCGCTTAAAAAAAAGTGAGATATGACGAAATATGCAAAAACTAAAATAAATAAACCTCTTCGAACCTTAAGATTGAGGACCGATTATGAAGATCCAGAAATAAGATCGAAAGTTATTCCGGGTGATCCTTTAATTTATCCATTTATTTGTACAGCTTTGTGAAATAAAAGTAAAAATATATTTGAGCCTGTTTGTTAAATTTTTTTTTTCAGTCACCCAGCTAGCTATTTGAAAAGAAAAAAAAAATTCAGGAACGAAGTCCGACTAGAAAAAATATATTGATTTACCTATTAATAGGCCGAGTTTTTTTTTTTTTTAATTCAGCTTTGCAAAGAAAAGCAAAAATAAATTCATCTGTAAACTAATTTAAAAACTTACTTATCGCTGCATACTGCTGTTGTTGAGGCTGAGCGGCGCCAACAACAGTTATTGGCTGAACTGCAGGAGCAGCTGGTATTGGAAGTGTTGCAGTTTTAACAGTCGATACTTGCTGCGGTGGTGCAACGGCTACCTGCTGTTGCTGTAAAGGAGCAGATTTAGTTCTCGATGAAATTTGTCCAGGTGGAGTAGGCGATTTTTCGCATTCCTAGAAAATAAGAAACTGTCAGTTTTAATCCATAAAGTGATTTTTTTTTTAATGAAACGAAATAGGATTTTCAATTTTAACCAACAGGATGCTGGAAAATTGAAGTCCATACTAAATGGTTTCAAAAATGTTGAAGAAAAAAAAAATTTTTTTTGCGGGCCAACCTATTAAATTATTTAATTATGGTCTCACAGTTAACTAATCTTAAGGACACGGTTCCCTGTAGAACACCGTAGTCAAGTATCTCTGGCTGCAGTGAGTAAGCAGATTGGTGACCAATTTGATCAGCCTGCGAAGGGACCGAAGGAGCTCGTTAATGGTCCTCTTAAAACTGTTCTACCATAAATTACTCAACTTCACACGCAGGTTGTCCAGCAACCAAAGCAGGGGAGTCAAAAGGCAAGGTCAAGTCGAGGCAAGGAATCAAAATTGCGATGGCATGTCTTCGGATCATCCTCCGGGATGTTTCCCAAACCGACGCCAACAGAAAGGTAAAAGTTTTCTAACTTTCATTTTAAGCATAACATAATCTAGCAACATCAAATACTGTGTTTCAATATCCCGTAGGGAGCAAAACACTAGGAAATACTCAGTCTAGAATAGGTAACAAAAGGGCAATTCCATATGTGACGGAATGACATTTTGACTTGCAAAATAACAATTAATTGAAGTTTCTATGTATCTAATTTCAAATAAAAAAAAGTTTTTCTCATGCATATCATTATTATTGGCATAATACGCTTCATAAACTAAAAAAACAGGATTTTCTATCTTTTTTACTTTTAATTTTACTAACTTTTTATTTGCGTGACGGAATGACATTTTAGCAACCAAGCTTTTGGCATGCCGCTTAGAACTGGTAGTTTCTGCGAATTTTGCAGCTATTATTTTTCTGAACTATTTTATACTTTTAGTATAATGTGTAAGCAATGCAAAATGTGAATTTGGAAAATTAACCTCAGGTTGGGTTATTAACATCTATTTACTGTGACGGAATGACAAAAAGTTTAGTAGAAGAAAGCTTTCATTTAAAAAATGTTTTAATAATATGTAAATGATAAGCAGAATGTAACAGATAAACAGGATTAATATTTATGTAAAAATTTCAACAGTTTGAAAATTAGGTTGTCTCTGAAGAGGTTTTATATCTAACTTGCCAATGTCACATCTTATCTTCGTTCTCAGGAAATTTATGCATTATTAAGACATGTGACGGAATGACGTAAAAGAAGTTACTTTTATTTTATATATTAAACTTAAAATGTTTAAATTTTGTTCTATATGCATATTTTTATCAAAATATTGCAAAAGAAAGATACATTTCTTTTATTTTATAAGTATTTTTCAAGAAAACAATTTGAGCACAAATGTGAAGAATTCACTTGTCAGCCATGTGATTACTTTAGAATGCTGCCAGATTCAAAAAACTTAAAATTATCAAAAATTAAACAGTAATATGTAGACTTTGGCTATTTTTGAACATATTTTTAAAATTAAAATATGCAATTCATAAAAAAAAAATTTCACTTAAAAGTTGACACTTTCGTGGAATTGCCCTNTAAAAGAATTTTTTTGCATCATTCAAATCGGTATTCATCTGCTTAAACAGGAGTAAAAGTAAATTTTAGAAAACTGAGAGCTAACAAAAGTTTAGTTTTAAATGACTAACTCAAAACCACACATCCCATCACTTGATTGCTTTACAGCTTTGAAGACAAATCCATACAAATTCTAAAAATTATCAAGCGCTATTTTTCCTAGTATAATAAAACCTTTATTTTCCGCTCTTTTTAAAAAGGTATTCTGTTATCGAATATACTATATCATAAAATGTTTTTTAAGCAAGAAAAATCAAGAAAATACAAATTAAAAATTTAAACTAAATTTCAAGGTGGCGAGGGCAAAGTTCACTTTTAAGACGATGCATATTTTTTTAAAGAACATGGGATCGCAATCTCTGTTGAGAAGGTGAAAATTCCACAAAGCGTAAAAGGCACGCGAAATACCCTTCGATTTTGCTATTTTTTAAAAAGTTTAGCAATACGTATCTGAAAAAAGTGGTGAATTATATAAACCTACGAATTGTTTAGAAATAGTGATGGATAAAAACCTAGTAAATTGAATTTATTAAACCAAGAATCACAGTAATTAAGTAAAGTTTGAATAAATTTTCTGCAATTCCATGAAAGAATGTAAATTTTCTAGTTCTATATCATGTTATACAGCTGTTTTTCGCGGCCTATGTGAAAGGTCAGTGTCAGCCACCGGTGGTTGACGCGGCCTAAATGTAATTTCAGTGTCAGCCACCGGTGGCTGGCGCGGCCTAAATGGAAAGTCCAGTGTCAGCCACCAATGGCTGACGCGACGTTCAACGTGTTAAGAGGCGATGTGTGAACAAGCTTGATATTCAGGGTTGTTTTATTGTTGTGAATTGTTCAAATTTACGCGGAATTATACCATTCGAATGAGTTTTTTGAAATTTATAAATTTTATGATCCTAAGAAAAATGTTTAAGAAAATTTATATCTCAACATAAATAAAGTATCGGGTATACTACGTTTTGAATGTCATCCTTTATTTGGCTATAATTGTGTAAAATATCTCTGCTTGTTATTTTTTGGGTAGCATCATAGAATACTTGTGGGGTCTTTTCCAAATTCATTTATTATTTGTTTCGTTAAAGGTAGCCCAGAAGTCTTACGATAATTTTTAACCCCCAGCGTGATTCGTGCGCAGCTTAACGCGGTCATCGGTCCAGTAGTCGGTACTAGTAGTTAGTTAATCAGTACTAGTAGTTAAACAGTGTGAAAAAAGGAGCAGTATTATAAAATATTTTAAATTTCTGCTGTTGGGTCTTATTTCCAATAACGCCATGCCGTGACTCAATAGCCAAGTGTCTAGCTTCTGATTGGAGGTCTTATAATTCCGCAAACTTAGACCCAGACAGTTCATTTTCACGTGTCTGAGTGGGGATTACTCCTCAAGATCTAGCTGCAAGCTAAACCATGTCCAGGAGGTCGTAAATCCTTAAAAAGTCATATACAATAAGCTTATTTAAGTACTTTAAAGAGTCGCCTCGATTTATTAGAGGAAATTTTCTAATATAAGAAAAATATTATATTTTTCGATATTTTGGAGAAAGTCGTGGTCGTTCAGGGGACACAGCACTCGCCTCCCAATGAACTGACCCGTGTTCAAACCTCAGCGTTAGTGGGTCGATGCGATTTCCGCACCTGACTCGCATGGACAACAGTGCTGATGTAAAATATCCTCAATAGTTGACGGATCATGGATTAGAGTTCCCTTGACGTCAAGCTAATCATAGGAGTTTACGTAATTTCTCCTCTCTTTGTAACGCAAATGCGGGTGTGTCTCATCAAAAAGTTCTCCATGAAGGCAAATTTCTCCGAATATTTGATATAGGAGTTCTTTTGTTAGCTGGGTTGGGTTCAAAATGACTAGGTAACGGAGTTGAACATTGATAGTCGTGAACTCAAAAATTAGGTCGGCTGTTCAACGACGTCGATAAAATAAAATAAAACTTTGGGTCGTTTAGAGAAGTTATTTATTTATTTATTTACTACTATTATTATTATTTGACAAGTCTTAAGCTTATAGCAACCGTGAGAGGGAAAATTCCGTGTCGATTCTTGCAAAATGCCAATTTCAGTTAAAATTAGTTCTTTCGTGAATAAGATGACAGTAAAAGAATAAACTAACAAGAGAAAGAAAACAATTTAAGTAATTAGCAAGCAATTTTTTGACTATGAATAGAAAACTAGTTCTTAGAAGCCATAAATGCAGCCAAAAAGTGATGATTGAATCGTCAATCGTACGTGAAGTTTAACCGACAAGCTATGGCGAACTCTGTCAAGTTCATCACGATCATCTGTTTAAGTTGATATCAATAATCAATATCAACATTTTCCAAAACATTTAAATTGTAACTTTTTAAATCAACCACCTGACTGAGTGGGCCACCAAAGTGTTGGCAACTTTACACTGTATTGTTGATCTACTTACACTATAATCGCTGTACTCTTTTTTTTGTGGTTAGCCATCTATTTCAAGGCTTCAACCTATTCCAACAGATTAGCTTCTCATGAAATTAGCGTTCTTTATCTCTAACCAATACGCACCGAAATTCACAATTTAGTATTAATTCGAGTTAATTACACTAGGGAACAAATTTTATGTTGCATTTACACAAATACTTTCTACCTACTTTAAAACCTAATTCGGTGTGGGGATTTCAAGTTTGAAATTTGCTTTGTTCCGAAAGCTATAGATTTTTTTTTCATAATGACATTTTTGGTTTAGTTTATTTCAGTCTGAATGTACAAGTTTATCTACACGTAAATTTTTTTTTCATAATGCCATTTTTGGTTTTGCTCATTTTTGTTTGAATGTACAAGTTTATCTACACGTACATTCAGTTGTACATTCAGTATACATTATATAGCACGTGTAGGCTTATATGCATGCATATACATTCGTCTGTACCCTTAAAATAACTCTTAGTACAAAAAACATGTGATCGACCCTTTCGCATCATATAAAAAATGCATCACCGCCTTCTTCCTACCACACCCTACGTAGCATAGAAGTGGGGACATCCAGTATTCCCACGAGTGAATTTCAAAAAATATTGGTGAGGAATCTATCATTAAATTGCATAAAAAAGTTGTATAAAATGTAGGGAGAAACTGACTGCAGACTTGTAATCGGTGACTTGAAAATATCTCAGATTCGGTCAAAAACCAATCAACAGTGTTTTTATTATTTATGTACTATACAGCATACACATGTAAAAGCATAAATAAATAATCAAACATTAAACATGCAATATCATTGTGCAAATAAATATCTTTACCTTATATGCTCCAAGAACTTCTGCAGATACATTTTTAGGAGGTAAACCAGTTTTTTCTATGACACAATCCTTGATATAAAATACTTCCTGTAAGAATATAAGAACTTTTTTAAAAAAATGTTATGATCTTTAAATTGTAATATCATCAAGCAAAATGGTTGTTGTATAATTTTTTTCCCGTCTATGTTCTTTGGCTTCAACTGTTTCAGCCTCGGAAAGTTTAGGCCTTTACCTCGTTTTCCCTTTTCTCGCTTCAACTCTAACCTTTGAGACCGTGTCAGTCAGTTTGGGACCCTCCTTATTTTTGATATTCACCTGAATTAGAATTTAAAACGATCCGGCTTGAGCTGTAGGTTAGGATTTTTAATTCTTAACTGAAACAATAAAAACAAAAATATCGTTCAAATGATGAAGAAGTTCTCTTTTATTCACAACCCAAGAAGTATTTATGGGATCTCTCTGGTCCCATATCTCAAAAATAAACTCACCCACTTAATGCATAACAAAATTGGAAGTGAAAAAAGAAGGATTCTAAAGAAATTATCAAACAGCAGTGGTCGCCATAGCAACGCATTCAATGACGACGCATGCGCACTGTTTACTATTACTCTTGAACACAGTTGAAAGGTGGGATGACGTCCAAATAAGGAGCGCACGCCATCAAACCAAACCAAGACCCATTTTGCCAGTGGGTAAAATGGATTCATGAATGTGTCAGCTCTATAAACGTGTGTGACGTATGGGTATGGGAGAAGTGGAATTCTTGGTCATTGTTGGCGTCACCGGAAAACAAGAACGATCACACCCCTGCCTTAATGGCCTACAACAACAACAATTCACACATTTTGTGCTGTGTTCATTTTGTTAAGCAAGCATTTCGAGCTGTGTCCTGTAAAAACAGCTTACGACGATGTAGTTTTTATCATGTTTTTAAACATTTTTTTAAATAGAACTTCTGAAACTTCTTAAAATTTTATAAAAGTTGCAACTGTTAATTCACGAGAATCTCAGGTTTTATTATTCTCGAAAGCAAGCGAGAAACGAAACAGTGTCACCGCCAGTTTTTTTTTTCTCTTTTTATTTAGTAACTTTCAACCTTTTGTAATACTAAAATTTAAAATATATCTTTTTTAGTTTCTCAGTCAGCAATGCCAACTGCATCGCAAAAGATTTTTACAGTGGTGGAAGATGGAAACTAAAGCATGCAGCATTTTGTTTAATTTCGCCAACTTTAAAAGCTGTACCACTCAAGAGACCGTAAGTTCAAAAACGCCAACTGTTCCGGATTTGAAAGAAGAAAAAAATTAAGAAACGGTAGAGAACTATAAGCTAAAATTAATCGGTCAATTTTCAAAACTTTTTAAAAGCTCAGCACGGCATAACTGTGATAAAGTGAGGTTTTACATAAACCATTGAATTATTCAGAAGTAGTGGTGAGTAAAAATCCTATAAATCAAACTTACTAAACCAAGGATCATGAATTAAAACACTACCACTAGAAAATACTTATCTACAACCTGTTCGCATTTTTATTTTATCTCTTGTAATGAGTTTTATCCATTGATCGAGGTAAATATATATTGAAGTGTGTTTTCTTCAAAAGCGAGTCTAGAAAAGTCTATTCGTGGTATACCAATCTCTACGCATATGCGTCAAGACGCGATCGTAATTTAGACAAAACTTTGAGTAAACATGCAAACATCACATCAATAATAAATAGGAATGTACCGACAATACTTAGATCCGCTATCTCTAAGGAAACAAGCGATAAACAACTGTTGCCCATAAGCAATAATAGAAAGAACAAACGCAGAATGTCAATTGTTGTCAGAGTGTCAGATTTTGAAGGTTTCAGTTGCGTAGTTCGAGTATTTAAAAAATCAAATACTAGAATATTTCATAAATACTAGTGGGCTGCGCCCCCTGCTCGCTAACACTNGTTCGGATTACATATCACAAATTTTAGGTGAAAGGAACGTAAGAATTAGTAAAAGATTGATCGCAGTGGATAGTATTTTTGGAGCTTTACTACAAGGACAGGATAAGGAATCCAATTCACCGGAGGTGCCAGTCAATCATTTATTTGTTGAAAATGAAGAATTAGATTGTGATAGGATTAAGAATTTGTGGTCATTGGAAGCAATCGGGATAAATGCAGATAAAGAACTATCTCCGTCAGATAAAGAAATTTTGGAATCGTTTGAACAAAATACGACATATTCAAATAAAAGATACGAAACTCGATTATTATGGAGGGCGGATAATAGAGAATTGAATAGTAATTATGAAATTGCAAAACGTCGTTTATTTAGTTTAAACAAAACATTCGAGAGAAATAAGGGATTATATTTAAAATACGATGAGATCATAAATGAGCACGTACGGGAAGGAATTGTTGAAAGGGTAGAAATGGATTTTGATAAAAATATAAATACAGGTTATTTTCTTCCACATCACGCTGTAGTACGCCAGAGATGCCAACTGCTCCGGACAAGCCAAAATATTCAAAAGACGGTAAGTAACTACTAAGAAGATTTTATAAATATAAAGCCTACGAATTATTTAGAAATAGTGGTGGATAATAATTTACGAAATTGAATTTATTAAACCAAGAATCTTAATTGATAAACTACCACTTTGAAATATATATTTGCTGTCGGGAGCAAGTTGGCATTTTTGTAAGTGCTGTTGTATGTATTCGTTCATGCGTCGAATTAACGCGTATTCGTAGAGATAGGTATATAAGAAACGTCCGTAAACCTAGTGTCATGTTTCTTTTGATTACCATTACATAATTATGGCACAATTGCTTTAAGTTCAAGTTACAAAACCTCAAATCAAATCATACATTAAACCACAAATTTATTTATCGCTAAAAATGTTTTCAAGTTTTAATAAAAGCGAAGCAATTTGCTGAGATTTTGCATCGGTAACAAAACTTCATATAATCTGTGTGTGTGTCTATATATATCATAATAAATAAATACAAAAAAACACGAATAAAATTAAGAACCATTTTCAGAAAGTTGACTTCTGGTCGATATAAAAATATTTACATTAATTACGCATTGTGGTACTCACGCACGTTTTAATTTTTAAAAATAAATGCTATGGATGAAGTAATTCAGTTACCAATCTGCATCTAATGAATCAGTTACCAATCTGCATCAGTAATCAATTCAGTTACCAATCTGCAGGGTATATTCCGAAATGGAAACAGTGACTCCTAATGGGTTAAAACAGGAGAGGTATCGCAATAAACTTTTCTCTCAATAGATCATAGCCTATTACGTTTTAAAACGGCTAATTGTTGATAAAATAATGTGTAGCATTGAGGAGCACTTACGAATTTCTAAAACTTGAGTCATATTTATGGGGAAACAATATGTTCTTAACCCCTCTCATCGATGACTCATGAACTATTCACCCTATTTCCATTTTATTTCGACGAGTTAATTTATAATCAAATTCTCTACCGTAGGGTAGGTTTTTTTTTTTCAAACTCAAAATTTGAATAAAATCTAAATATTTCTTCTTGATCACAAAATAAGAACGATGAACTTATTAATCTTATAAAAACTAAAGAACTGACACATCAGGTAACATTGTAGAACATAAAGCTAACTATAATCTTTACATTTAAAGTTGAAGATCCGAGAGGAAGAATAGTTCTTAAGGTTTTGACGACAATTGTAATAATAAATATATCATATAACTCAATTTATTAAAAATTTATCCCGATTTTCGCTACCATCACTAATAATTCTGATATCATGATATCATAGCAGCTTAAATTATGTCACACAATTACATTTTTGTTGGAATAATAACGCAAATTTTTCAAAATAGTAATGTATAAATTTTAAACCTAAAAGTGGTACTTATATAATTTCTTATTTTCTGAAAATACAATAACTTTAATTTTTAACTAGACACCACCAAGTTTGAAAATTATTGTTTTGTTAAAAACCTGATTGAATTTTGGAGATTTCTCAAGTCATACACATCACACTATTTCAGAGGTCGTAGGATAGACGCCAGCGTGCTCCGCTTTTCAAAAAATTATTTTTTAGTGGTAAAAAAAAATGAAGTTATTTTTAGTTTAGGATTTCTACTGCAAGTAATTCATCCACCTCTGCATTCAAAAATTCAAAATATCATATCAAATACAGCTTCCTTAACAGCTATCTCGTGGTCACACTTTTAAAAAGTATGCATAATCATCAACAAGTTGTACTGCTTAATTTGCTTCCCAGTTATTTAAACTCTTGCAGAAAGCGGAGCAGTTGGCATCCTCGGTCATAGTTAGTGGATCACTAGTTACGTCAGCTAATTATGCCCTAATGTGTCGCTATTTCGGATATTTATGATTTTAGTCTATATAAAAAAAAAATTTAAGAATGTGGAATAGATTTTTTTTTCTTTCTACCTTTTCGGATCTGGTAAATTTGGCCAGAATACCTTGGTAGGTAGGGCAATGGGCCCATGTACAAGAGGTCGTGAGTTCGATCCCCGCCGGGCAAAGACTCCCCGTGCAGTAAATGGTGACTGCTGCACGTTAAATCTGTCGGATCAAAAAGTCCTCCGTATTCCTATAACAAATCGTACCTGGGGGAAGAGGTACTGATCCAGGAGCTACATTGTCTCTGGATTGGTTCAAAATGACAAGGTTATGCAGTTGAACATTAGTAGTCGGGAACTGAACATTGGGTCGGCTGTTCAACAACGGTTATTAAATAAAATAAAGATGAAGTAGATATTGATCGTTCTCTAATTCAGGTCAAAATTACGATCTGCAGATGCATGAATGTATGCATGAACAGGTTGAGACGTATGTGTGTGTGTGACAGAAGTCAAATTTTAAGCCATACAAACAAGAAGAAACGCATCTCCTTTGCCTTAATGGCATACTACAACAACAACAACAACAACAAATAAAATTAAAAAAAATAATAAGGAATTTTTTGATCCGGTAAAATTAACATAATAATAAGGTTATTATTTAAATATTAAGTAAGTTTGTGTGAACTGCGTTTATAAATTTGTTAATGAAGTTTACGCAAATTATTATTATTGAGAGCCTTGCAATTTATAATAGCTTCGACCATGATCTTTCTAAATGTAGTATCCCACCCATGAAATTGGGTCGGCTGTTCAACGACGGTTATAAAATAAAATAAAATGTAGTATCCGACCTTAATTTTTCCCGCGCTAAGTAATTATTCTAAAGCGGCACCGTCGTGCACGGTGGAAGGAGGAACCTTAATGCACATGCTTGATTTTTTTCACCGCGTTCGGTTGTGCCAGTCGCTGGCTGGTGGTCGCCAAGTAAGGTGCTGTTCGTAGTGTTCGTCGGATTTAGTTTTCCCGTAAGATGACTAAACAAATTGAGCAAAGATATTGCATCAAATTCTGTCAAAAGCTTGGTGATTCTCAAAGCCAAACAATTCGTAAGATTCAGCAGGTGTTTGGAGAAGAAGCGATGGGTGTAACACAAATTAAGGAGTGGTTCATCCGATTCAAAGATGGCCGCACATCAGCGGAGAGTGAGTAGCGTTGTGGCAGACCCCAAACAGCTCGGAGTGCAGCTAATGTTGAGAGGTTGCGAAATTTGGTGATGGCAGATCGTCGTTTGACAGTGTGGGAGATTGCAGAAGAGGTTGGAGTGAGTAGAGATTCTGCACAAGCAATTTTGCGTGAAGATTTGAACATGAACCGAGTAGCTGCGAAATTCATACCCAAGTTGTTGTCCCTGGAACAAAAAGACCTCCGTTTTGACGTTGCACAGGACCTTCTGGACACCGCCAACACTGATCCTGGGTTTCTGAATACCGTGAGAACTGGAGATGAGTCATGGGTGTACGGGTACGACCTAGAAACAAAAAGACAGTCGTCGCAATGGAAGCATCCCGATTCTCCAAAGCCGAAGAAAGCGCAGCAGGTGCGAAGCAAAATCAAGGTGATGCTGACTGTTTTCTTTGATGTCCGTGGAATTGTGCATCGCGAATACGCACATTAAGGACAAACAGTGACAAAGGAGTACTATCAAGATGTTCTCCGGCGACTCCGTGAGGCAGTTCGGCGCAAAAGACCAGACTTGTGGAAGGCGAACAACTGGCACTTGCATCATGCAACGCCTCTGCACATTCATCCCAATTGATCCACACTTTCTTAGCCAAACATGGAATTACAACCATTCGCCAACCTCCCTACTCTTCAGACCTGGCTCCTTGCGACTTCTGGTTGTTTCCAAAATTGAAGACGCCGCTGAAAGGATCCCGTTTTGAGAGTAAAGAAGAGATAATGCGGAACGCGACGACGGAGCTGAACACCATTCCAAAAGAAGACTTCCAGAGGTGTTTCCACCAGTCGAAGGATCGGTGGGCTAAGTGTGTGGAAGCACAAGGGGCCTACTTTGAAGGGGATTAGGGTCCCAACTCCATCAGATATTTGAAATATTTTTTCTGGCCAAAGGTCGGATACTTTTCAGACAGGCCTCGTATAGCCACAGTTTTGACATACAAAATCTTCCTAAGCAGCATTCGCTGAAAAATCTTGTTCTCGTAGAGTTAGTTTAGAAGTTTTCCATTAATTTTGTTTAACCCCTGTATATCAACTTAGTTCTTAAATATATATGTTAAGATAAATATCTGCTACCACTCTCTTGTTTTAACTAGCAATCTCTTGAAATGTCTAATGTGTAAACTAGCTCTCTTTTTTTCAGTGTTTTTCTCTTTTCATCTGATCGGACTAATTTTGCAAACTGAGTAGAGATAGGCGATGGTCGACATCCGCAAATCTATCTGTTCGAAAAGACAATGTCCAGGGGGATTGATCTAAGAGGCACCTTCTCACGACTTGTTCTTTGTTTTCCGATCCCTCAGTAAATGAAAGTTGTTTGCTTCGAAACTTTCATCATCCTTTATAGTTTGTTTACGCCTTGAACTTCCCCCGCCACATCGTCTGAGGCCGTCTGCTGCTATGGAAACAAGAACGAGGCATTTAGGATAGCTTCTCTTCACTCTAGGGCTAGAACAATAGACCTGATAAAAAAAATTACCCTTCTCTCGCCAACCCGAGACAAAACTTGTCCTATACAGTGATCCCACACCCCTACTTGAAATAGTTATAATTCGTTACCATTGTCACCGCCACGGGTCCAGAGGAATGGCTAGGGGAGTTCTTACTTTCGACAAACTATACAGTTGGGACCATTGGTTTTGTTACAACTTGTATACAAATTTAGAAGTATATAGAATGGTACTTGCGGGTATATAGAGAGGTATATAGAATGGTACTTACGGGTATAACACCTTTTCCTTCCCAAACACTCTTGCAACGGTAATTGATGATATCAGCAGATGTCTGGACATTTTCTCCGAGGCTGTTTGTGCAGTCCACCCAACTTTTCAGGTACTGTCATCAAATAATATAACGTTAAAATTTCTCCAATTATACACTGTGAAGAAAGCATGCTCAAATATCACGAAACTTTCTTATTTTTTAACAAAATCATTTCCTGATATATACCCCGAATAAAACTTTCCGTAAAGGGACGAAATAACTATTGTATTTGCTTCGAGAAACGAATTTCGTCAAAATTTAAAAAATATTTTGTTATTCTATTTTTAACCAGAAAAAAAAATTCTGCCTGAAGCATTTAACTTTTCAAATATACAATTTATCTCGGTGGATCGATGTCGCCTAAACAACACAAGACGGACAGTCAGTTATACCTCCCCACAGTTAAAATAAAGAGATGAATTACATGCCCGGAGCGAGATTCGATCCCGACATCTTCCTGGTAAACTCCTTGATCACCATACAAAACAGTCGGAAGACATCGTTATTTTATTTTCGATCGGGTAATCTTCATTCTAAATTCGTCCCGCAGTGGACTGATCGTTAAGACAACGGTTCCCTCAGTGTGCGGGTGGGTGCCCACTTGGATCAGTCTGCGTAGGGACCGAGAGTGTGCGGTGTTGGTCCTCGTAAACCTGTTCTACCGTAAAGTGCTCGACTTCACGTGAAGGTCGAAGGTCTCCCACAATACCCTACGATGTGGTTTCAAAACGAGAAAATATTTACGTAATATATGTATGTAATATAATCGTAATATTCGTAATATATTTATGAATTCGCGCTTCGCCAATTATTTTCCAAATTAACGAAATATAGCTAAATGATTGCTAAATTGTCAGAAATGTGAGTTTTATTTCAGAGAACGTACTAAAATAAAAAATAATGTTAAAGTTTATGGTTGTAAGCATTTTTAATTTTTTTCCATGTGTTCATGTGTAAATTCTTGTAATCATATAATTTGGAATTCGATATTTTTAGTTCATTAGAACACATTTCACTGTTTAAAATAAAACTAAATATATTTTTAAAAAATTTACTTAGTTACTTAATTAATAAGGAAATTATGTTCTCAATAGGTTTACATAGAGGAAGTTAAATTTCCTCTATGAATTTCAGTCATTCTGTGATCATAAAATTAAAAACTTGCATCAATATAAAAATTTGAGTGAAAATATTTTAATTAATAAATACCGGTAAGGTAACTCTATTCTCCACGCAATCCAGTAGACCTACAGGATCTGGAACCACTAAATAATAATAAAAATTTAAAGTTTATTAAAATTAATGAAAAAGGAAAATATTTACAATTATGATAGATATAGTGAAACAAAAACATATTTTTTGCAAGAAATGAAAAGATAAAAGTTTTCAGATAGGTGAGAGACTAATTTTTTAATACTACACAATCAATTTTACTTAGGGAAAATAAAATTTAAACATTTTACTCGTTAAAACCAAAGTTGGGGTGATGGACGATCTTTTATAAATTTGCACGTAATATTTACTATCCAAATTTTTTTTTTATCTGTTCAAAATTTTCCAGAAAGTATCAAAAACCTATAATTCTTAAAATATCTGAATATATGAATTTTTAAAAAAAAATCTAACTGTTCTTATTGCTTACGAAAACATTGAAATTTAAATATGAGGTGAGGTGACATTAAATGTTTGAGACGTTATTAATAAGTTATTAATGAAATTATTGAAGAGTTGAGTGGATAAACCTAGACTAATATGGATTAGTTATGATAAAATTAACTGATAAGACAATTGAAAGCGTAAACAATTCCGTTACACTAAACATATCAATATTGATGGGACCACTTTATACCCAAGATCAACAAGTTGAATGCCATGGGGGTCACCGGTGACCGGCACCGAGTTTGCTCGTAGCCCCACGGGTGTCACCGGGGACCGGCGAAGTCAAGATTTTTTTAAAGACATAATTCGAGTAAATTTTTTATTTTTTTAAATGTATTACAGATACTAAAATCATACGTACCAACTCTTCCAGATTTTCAGGAAGATTTTATTTTCATATTTAAAGTGGTAGTAAATATATACTATTTTTTCTTTTATAATTTTGATTTTTAAATGATTTTGATCACCACTATTCTTACAAAAATTAAGTACATATATAAATATGCGTTACTATCATGGTTGTCAACTTAAGTTTTCTCAAATACAGCGTATTTGTTTGCTTAAAACTGAAGTTTGAATTCCATTTTAATACCACTGGGAAAAATTATAATGGAAAGGATTAAAAGCTGGCAGGTATGCTAAAATGGTTTGAAGAAATGAATGCAATATAGAACACACAAAAATAGTTTTATTTATATACACCAAGATGCCTACTTGCACCGGACAGCGAATAAATATTTTAAAGTGGTAGTTTATTAATTGTGATTTTTGGTTTAATAATTTCAATTTATTATATTTTTATCCACCACTATTTCTAAACAATTCGTAGGTTTATATAATTCACCACTTTTTATCTTAATGGAGATGCCATGCAAAACCTTATAAAAAACTAGCAAAATCTGTCTAATATTTGCAAATTTAGTTTGTAGTTATTTACCGTTTGGCCAGACGGGCAAGCTATGTAAAATTAGCGTGGCATTCAACGTGTTGATAACTATAGCCTCAATTACAATGACGCATTGCATAAGTTCGAATAATAATTGTATTTAAAGTTCATTATAAAGTAAATCACTCCTACAACCAACCGAATTTGAAAAGAAGGTCACAGAGGTTCGTGATTAAAAGTATGACGGCCAGCATTGTGCTCGGTCTACACACTTTCCTATGTGGTCTAGCCACTGCTGGGAATAAAAACTCCTGTACTTCATAATCTAACTACTTAAAATTGAATTCAAGGATATAGAATATTTGATTTCTTTTGCTATTTCCTTAAATTCTTAGAATTTTTCATGAAACAACTTGACAATTTTTAGCATTGGACAGTTATATGACAGATGCTTTGGAACCAGCTGCTTCTATGCATTATTTTATAATTTATAATACATAATTTTTTTTGCTTTAAACTATTGTGTATATTACAGTTTTCAACAGAGGGGTCAGCTAGGGGACATTTTTTTTTATAAATTTAGCAAGAAAGAAAATCAATCATTATTTTAAGCATATCTAAGTCTTTTAAGCATATTAATTACATTGATAAAATAATAATCTGTCTTTGCGTGTATTGACAAATATTCTATATTCACATGCGTGAATAAATTACTGTTCTATATTCACTTCCGATACTAACTCTCAGAAAGTTAGTGAAGTTTCAAAATATCAACGAAACATATTCTTCTGCTGAACATATTCTACAATTAAATTAAAAGAAGTAAAATATAATGTCTATACTCACAGCATTGACGTGAAATTTCTGCTCCAAAGTCATATTCTTGACATCTGGCCCTAACAATTAAAAACAAAAGAACAGCTAACACATTTATTTTGGGTAAAAACATCTTGACCACACTAATTCTGTCTAAGCTCCATTACATGCTTCAGGTTCTTTTATATAGTTTCTGAAACTTTCGACTCTTCCTCCTTAACTGCCACACAGAATGTTCTACATTTTGAGAAAATTTAGTACCGTTATAGGATTATGAGATTAAAGATTTCGGAAATTATGTAACAAACAGTAGAAGTAATTTGGTTCTCTTATTAACAGAAGGGACTATAATTCAATCCACGTAGAGCATTTTAGTCTGAAGCAATGCTCTTCAATATTTGATTCTTGATTTCAACAACAACAACAAAAATGTGATACATTTAATTAACATTGTAGTAAATAGTACAAAAATCAATTTAATCAGTAAATACCAGCTTAAGATTTTTATTCCATGTGACTTGATAGTACATGTTAGCACAGTGTAGATGCTAGTGCTTCGCGCCAAATACAAAGCTAGCACCAATATTTTTTTTTCCTAGAGAGATCCTCACCCATTAACTAAATCTATTCCACATTTAAGAGTTATTGTTCTATTTTTATATACATTAATATGTGATTGGCCTTTATTTACATATATTGATAAGTAAATGTTCCATATTTACGTATATTTATGAAATATTTATGAGTTAAAGTTCTACATTTGCGTATAATGATAAAAATATTCTACACTTGAATACATTAATAAATGTCCTTTACATATAAACTCCTTGCAAGCATAATAATAACTCATTTAATACCTCTTATAATTTTTTACGTTTCCATTAATTTCAATAGTTAGTGTTCCATATTTGCATCCATCGAAGATAAGTGAATATCCTTTGTTTACATATTATGTTCTATATTTACCTATATTAATACCCCTTCCGTCAAGAGGCTAGTTTCTATGTAGTTGAAAATTTTTTTTAGCGAAAGCTGAGAACTAAAATTCAATTTATTTTCAAACCTAGTATGGATCACCGACAAAGAAAAAGAGAAAAAACTGGTAGTATATATATATATATATATACAGAAGGCAAGAGAACTCCTGGATCAAGTATTGGGAGAAATTTGCCTTCGTGGAGGACTTTTTTGATGGAACCAACCAGCAT